GGGGGGGGGGGGGGTTAAGGGGGGGGTTGCTTCACCACCTCACCCCCCCCACCCCATTGTCTCCCCTCCTTTCTCCGTTCTCTACCTCTTCTCCCCCCCCCCGACTTTCTATAGCCACCCCCAGCTTCCCCGCTCTCCTCCATCCCTCCCTGTGCCCAGCTCTCCGAGGCAGGGAACACGTCTTTGTATGTGCACACATGGGTCCAGGAATGGTTAACAGCCATCGTCTCCTCCTCCCCCTCAGGCTCTCCTGCAATCTCTGCCCCCAGCCCTCTCTCGATCTCTCCGGTTTGATACCCCCGGGGGCCCCCCTGCCGCTCAGGACTGAATGAGGCATTCCTGCTGCCTGGGCAGGGAAACCAGCCCTGCACTGGCCTTGTCTAGGGGCGTGTAGTTACAGGGTAACGTCATGGGGCTGGCTGAGGGGTCACCAAGGCACCTGCTCCACGCCAAGCCGGGAATTGGGAGGCCTGGGTTCTCCTCCCAGCTCTGCCGCGGACCCGGGGCTGGTCACTCTCACTGTGCCTCAGTTTCCCCTCCCACCCTGTATGTGTCTTGTGTAATCAGACTGTGACCTCTTCGGGGCGGGGACTGCCTCGCTGTGTCTTTGTACAGCCCCTAGCACAGCGGGGCCCAGGTCTCTGTTGGGGCCGTTCAGCGCTACCATCAGAAATAATAGCGTGAGGATAATCCAGGCCACCACACGCCGATCCCCCTTGTTGCCATCACGTTCCTCCAGCCCATGTCCCACGGATACATCCTCCATCCTGTCCTGCTTGGGGGCTGGGATTCCACCTGGGGCCCAGCTCACCTCCTGGGGGATCTTTCCTCGCCGCGTGGCCGGACTCCACGGGATTTCAAGGGCAGGCAGATGCTCTGCGCCGGGGAGGCAGGGGGGTCGCGCTATGTGATATGGGGACCCAGGGAGGGTCCCCTCCAGTGTAACACGCCGGGTTGTGTTTGTGTCCCCTCCCCAGGCGGATGTTCCCGTTTCTCAGCTTCAACCTCTCCGGGCTGGACCCCGTGGCTCACTACAGGGTCTGCGTGGACATTGTCCTGGTGGATCAGCACCACTGGAGGTACCAAGGCGGGAAGTGGGTCCAGTGCGGCAAGGCCGAGGGGAACATGCCAGGTAGGAAGGAGAGATCCAGGCCCCTTCCCCCTCCCAGTTATCTCGTTCATGGGGCGGGACCAGGGTGTTGGGTACAGGGGGGTGGTTGGTGCTTGCCACTGTCTCTAGGCTTCTCTTGAGAGAGGGGGGAGAGCTCCCACAGCCAGTGCTCCTGCAGCGCCCCCTGCTGGGAGAGCCAGGCACCCCCCCAGCCACTGCTCCTGCCCCCTCCCCTGCAGCGCCCCCTGCTGGGAGAGCCAGCCCCCCACCCCATCCACTGCTCCTGCACCCTCCCCTGCAGCGCTCCCTGCTGGGAGAGCCAGGCGCCCCCTACCCCAGCCACTGCTCCTGCCCCCTCCCCTGCAGCGCCCCCTGCTGGGAGAGCCAGGTGCCCCCTACCCCAGCCACGGCTCCTGCACCCTCCCTTGCAGCACCCCCTGCTGGGAGAGCCAGGCGCCCCCCCCCCCAGTCACGGCTCCTGCCCCCTCCCCTGCAGCGCCCCCTGCAGTGTGAGCCAGGCACCCCTCCTGCACCCTCCCTTGCAGCCCCCCCTGCTGGGAGAGCCAGGTGCCCCCGCAGACACTGGTGCCCCCGCCAGAGCGCCGGGGGGAGGGTGGCGAGCCCAGCTGTGGCCCCGCTCTCCCCGGAGCCGGAGCGCCGCACCGCGCCGCCCCCCTCCAGGTGCCGCCCCAAGCACCAGCTTGGTGGGCTGGTGCCTGGAGCCGGCCCTGCTCCTGTGGCTGGGTGGAGGAGCTGGTCCCAGGTGCTGCTCCAGGCGGGAGGGGGCGCTGGCGGGTAGGGTCGCCGCGCCAGGCGCTGACCGGCTGGCCCAGAGGCCGTGGGTGCTGGGAGCGGCTGGTGGGCCCATGGGAGCGGCATGGCACTCAGCCGGGGGCTGTTTTGGCAGGTAACCGGCTGTACATCCACCCCGACTCATCCAACACCGGGGCCCACTGGATGCGCCAGGAGGTCTCGTTTGGAAAACTCAAGCTCACCAATAACAAGGGGGCATCCAATAACATCACACAGGTAACCCCCTCCCCCCCCATCACAGGCCAGACACCTGTCCCCGTCACCCGGGCAACGTCCCCCATTGCGGGGCACAGGCCAGACACCCATCCTCGTCACCCGGGTAACGTCCCCCATCGCAGGGCACAGGCCAGACACCCATCCCCGTCACCCGGGTAACGTCCCCCATCGCAGGGCACAGACCAGACACCCATCCCCGTCACCCGGGTAACGTTCCCCCATTGCAGGGCACAGACAAGACACCCATCCCCGTCACCCGGGTAACGTGCCCCATCGCAGGACACAGGCCAGACACCCATCCCTGTCACCTGGACAGAGACCCACCAGCCTATCCGCACTCCCCTCCAGCTTCGGGACCCTCCAGACACTACCTACTCCCCACCATCAGCTTCTCTGTGGTGTGGGGCTGACTCTCAGGACCCCTCGTGCTTTCTCTGTTCTGTTCTTTCTGTCGCCTTCCTTCCAGCTGAAGGCTCTGCCTTTTGCCCAATAGTTAGCCTGTGGAACTGCCTGCCACATGATATCGATCTAAAGCTATGAATCCCACTGACGTTCCCTCAACGGCTTATCCCAGCGGGCCATGGTACCCTCGGCCAGGATAAGCCTGCCATGGTCTCCCCCATAGATTGACCCACAGAACAGTGGATTGTCCCAATGTCCCCCCACTCCCAGCTGCGGAGCATCCCTTATGAGCTCCACGCCCCCTGCTCCAAGCGCCTCCCCCGTGACGCTCCCGTGCCCTGCTCTCTGCAGATGATTGTGCTGCAGTCGCTGCACAAGTACCAACCGCGGCTGCACGTGACGGAGGTGAAGGAGGGGGAAGGGGATGAGGCCTATCCCTCCGGCAACACCCAGACCTTCATCTTCCCGGAGACGCAATTCATCGCCGTCACGGCCTACCAGAACGCCGACGTGAGTACCGGGCCCCCGCGCCTCCCTGGGCCACGGCAACCCCTCGGACGCCCGGGGGCAGCCTCCAGGGGGCGTTGTGCCAAGGAGAAGGGTAGGTCTGAGGCCGCCCATGGTGCGGTTGGGTGGGGACTGGAGTGTCACATCAGCACCCCATGGCCCAGTTCCTGCCTCAGGGCGGGTGTCGGGGGGGGGTCCTAGGGCTTGAGGGGGGGCAGTTGGGGAAGCACTAGGAAGATGGGGGCTGCCCTGCAGCCCTGCTTCTTCCCCCCGACTCTCCCTCCGCCCCCTCCCCAACCCCGTGCCGCCCCACACACGCAGTGTGACCATGTGCCCAGACTCTGTTCTGTGTTGTCCTAGATCACTCAGCTGAAAATCGACCACAACCCCTTTGCCAAGGGCTTCCGGGACAACTTCGACTCGTGAGTATCCCCCCCACTGGCTGTCTCCCCATTGCCCCGCGAGGCCGGTCCAGCCACGGGCCAAGGGGCGGGTCTGCCTTGATGCACCCTCGTCATTGGGTCACTGCCAGGCATCTCCGAGGCCCACGTTCGCCTGGCACCCCCCAGTTCTCAGAGGCCGGCCACTGAGGCAAACATTGGGCCTGCAGAGCTGCGGCGGGGATGGGAGAGACGCCTCTCCCCCGGAGCTGCAGAGGGGAGAGGGGTGTGTGTGTGCGCCACACACACACACACACACACACACACACACACACACACACACACACACTCTCTCTCTCTCTCT